GCAATAACTGTTTGATTGCAAACTTGACCCTTTCTTCTTCTCAGCCTGAGCTAGACATTTTTAAACAGGCACTCCATTCCCAATCCTCCTTTGCAAAGAATTACATCAGATAACAAAGACTTCTCTGCCACTCATTGTAAGCCTTCTTCTGGAGATCTGTTCTAAGAGGCACTGTGTAAAAAGGTTTTTATGATGAATTCAGAACTACTATCATGTTAAGAGCACCAATTTATAAAGAAGAATTCATTGGTTAAGATCTGAAAAAATAGTTTCTCAGGCCCTACTGACCCAGTTTCCAACAAAAAAGAATCAAGTGATGCAAATTAAGTTTTGAGACATTGTTATGCAGTCTGAGAAATTTGTAAAACTGTGTTTTGCGGTGATTTCTTAATAGAGGATTCAATGACTACTTAATTCTCCCCCACGCAAAAAATCTGATTTCTTTATATTCTGCAGGTTTATCTTTCACAGGTAGTGATAAAATACATGCTTCATAATGATGAAAAGTTCCAACAGCAGCATGGCAATAAAATTAATTTTAAAGTACTAAAGAATACATAGATTTTGCTCTGGTAAAATGCAATACTCTCTTCCTTTCATCTGATTAAGAAGTTATAAAAACGTGCACACTCTCCAAGGCAGGATGTATGACACTGACAGCCTTCCCAGATTTACTAGTAACAGACTAAAGGAGACAATCAGATATCAATATAAAAGGTCTGGTTTTCTTCAGTAAAAACGAGCGTGCTTCCAGGAACCGTTACTGCACATATCTTACTTTCATTTTCATATGCCTACGTGTGCAACAGGTGTGAAAATAAATGTTTTAAACCGGGGTTCGAGTTAAAAATAATTTTAAATTAGTGGCCAGAGGGAGAACAACACTGTGGTGTTATCTTTTGCCTCTGAAGCCAGGAAAAACTTCCCACAACAATACATTTAACGAACCAGAACACTTGGAATTAAAGTTTTCAGGGCACTCAAAACACACCAACTTTCACATGCATTGTTTTGAATCCTCTTCAGTCTCTATCAGTTCAACCTCACTCAGAAGACTCTGGGGCTCCATTTCTCCCAACTTTTCCAGACAGCCCAGGAAGGCTTCGAACAGAATTTAAATGATTTCGGGATCTTTTATTTCTGATCGCTCTGTGGCATTGCAAAACAGAAGTGAAGCTTTCTATATTAAAGAGAAGCCTTCTCCCCCGCCCCATCTAATGTGTAGGATTTTAAAAAGTGAAAGTTAGAAAAATAATCTTCTTCCTCCTGACATATTTTCAATCCTCTTAAAACAATCTCAACAACTATATATAGTATGAAATTAGCTCTTGCCTGTTACCCCTGTTCCTACACAGAATTTTCTAATGTGTCTCACTAGTAATAAATTGTAAACGAGGCTATGACTCTAAGAGTAGACAGTGTGTTTCATGGGTATTTAAACAACAGCATTAAGTACTATAGGAATCTGTGGAATGTGGAGTGCAGATTTATGTGTCTTAACAATTTCTTTACTGGCTTGTAATAAGCCAGCAAACCAACACTTTATTTTTATATTAATTTGGCCTCAGAAGTAGAGGATACTGGAGCATGACAAGAACAACAAAAATAAACTGGCATATACTTAATAACTGTAACAGGGAATTGCCTCCAATACTAAAATATTTATCGAAACTGGGGGTGGGGGGGGAAGCTAAAAAGAATTACCCTCAACAGCCTGCTACCAGCTCTTTAACAGTGGGCAATGTAATGCCTTAAGGTACCTCAAACTGTCTTTCATTTTCTAGACTTAATGGCTGATTGCAGAAATCAATGTTGCCATTAGTAACAGAGTATTTGTTATGGCATGATTTCCTCTGTTGTTAGGCTTGCAGAATGATTACAGTATTAGTGAGGTGCTTTCTTTATAAAGGGCTGAAGATATACCTTTCAATTTACTATCCATTAGTAAGTGACTTTGGAAATATAGATGAGGCCAGAAATCTTACCTGTTATTACTTGGAGATTTTATTCCAGCAGTCATAGGCTAGTAACTTTAAAAATTGTACCAGGAAGCTCAATATTTTATAGACATCTCCAGTGAAATATTATCTGCTTTGCTATTTTATACACAGCAAGTTAACATGACATACAATGCAATTAAAATGTTTCAGTCCGATTTCTATTTTTCTCGTACTTTCAGATAGATGTGAATTAAGCAGAAGGCTTCATACATGTTAAAATGTGCACGTAAGTTAAAAGGTTGTCGAAAAGTTAGCAATTTGTATTTCAGAATCTCTTTTTAATCGGTCCAGTGGCCAGGTACAAGTACATATCTCTGCCAAGTAATTGATCGGGTTGTGGGAATCGGGGCAATCAGAGAGGTTAGCCAACGCGCTCTTTATTAACTCTATTTCTTTGAACTACAGCTCAAAGATGGCATCTTCCCTTGCCCTTTTAAGTGGAGGACATGGCGAGATCTGCGAGAGAGACACCATGAATAGAAGAGGAGGAAAACAAACCGCTTTCCAAAACCTGGCGGGAGAGGCCCTGGAAGCGCCATTGCCGTTGGTGACCGTAGAGACCCTGCACGCTGCTGCTGCCGGCGGGGTGGCGGAGGGGGCAGCTGACAGGCTAGGAAACCTGCCCTTGGAGGGGGGAAGAGGGTGAGCCGAGAATTAACCTCGGCGGCATTGCGGGAACCCAAACACAGATGTTCTGGCATGCAACACCACGTCCCTGTGGACTGCTCGGAAACGACCTAACAAGAGAATGCATGAACTGCCTTGCTGCCGTGATTGCAAATACAGCTACGAAGCTCACAGTGCAGAGAGGGAAGGAGAGGTTATCATACCTGAAGAGGAGGGTGAGGAAGGGTGTGGGCTGTCCTCCTGGGCACTCCCCGTCTGTGAGAGACCCCCACCTATTCCACTTTCTTCAGTAATGTTAGAGGACCCTGGTGTTGTCGACCTGCTGACAGACTGAGACTCTTGATCACTTCCAGACCCACGTCGCTCATCAAGACTACCTTGAATTATTTCATCTTCTCCTTTCCTGTCTCTTTTGTGGACCCTGGAGTGAACGACCACTTGGTGGTATGTTCTAAAAACCCTTCCGCAGTCTGGGCATTCAGTTGGCTTTTCTTTTACGTTTCCATGACTTTGTAAGTTGTAATCGAGTCCCTGGTTCATACCATGTGACAAAAAATCTCTGCTGCCTTCTAAAGGGTCTAGTTTGTTTGGCAAGTCTCTCTGATTGCCCATTTTAGTGCTGTGAACCAAATCAGCAGGCATTTTCTGCTTAGAGCCATCTGCTCCTACTAACACATACTCCCGCTTCTCCTTATCAAACATAACTCCAGCATTTGCCAAAGTGTCTTCATGGCTGCGCTGTATCTGCTGCTCTTTAGACAAAAAGCCATGTTCCATGGCCATTCCCCTTGCCATAAGCTGCCAGGCCTGATAGCTGTTTACTGGATCCATCTCTGCCGCTTTGGCGGCAGCTTGTAACCTTTCTATACAGCTGGATTTCAGCGGAGGCACCAGATTGAGACAGCCCAATAAAGAATGTTTATCCCCTTCGGCAATACTGTGGCCAATGCCAGAAATGGGTGAAAGGAGCTTCCCCAAGACTTCTTTCTCTTTCATGGGCATGTCTCCCTTGTTATAGATTTGATTTTGTTCACTTAAGCTTGCTTTGTCGGGAGGAAGAAACCCACTCTGCAAACATGACAGATACCTTGAATATAAGTTTGCGTGAGCTTCCTGGGACATGCTGCTGATGGAGACCGGTACTTCGGGATCGTTAGGAGATTTGTTCTTTACAGATAACTTATTCAGGTGGACTTTCATGTGATTTTTAAGAAACCAAGGCTCTTTGAATCGCCTCCCGCAGATCTGACAGCAGTGTTCAAAGGAATCCTTGTGCTTCCTCATGTGGCCTTTCAGGAACCAGGCTTGGCTAAACACTTGGCCGCACACCTCGCAACGGAACTCGTTGGTGGATTGCTCCCCGTTCCCGTTGGAGCCCTGGCCCTGCGCGGACTCGGCAGTTATGTGAGCCTTCTCCACGTGGCTGATCAGCTCCTCCTCCTGTGAGGCAGCAAAGTCACACAGGGTGCACTTGTAAGGCTTGTGCAGGATCCTTATGTGCCTGTCCAGCTCTTCTCGCTTCTTGAACTTGCCTTTGCAAAACGTGCACCTGAACCCAGCTGTCTGAGCGACAACTTCTTCCTGGATGCTGACGGGCTTTGGAGAGGGAACAGGGTTTGCAACGTCAGGAGTGCTGTGATTAGCTGGCACGGACAAGTTGCAGTTTGCGAGAGGCATTGGCTGGGCGTGCTGCTGGGCCTTCACATCGGGTCGTGGCTGCAAGAGGCTGCTCTTCATCTGCTTGTCCCGAAGAATTGCTCTCTCCTCCAGCTCATGTAAAAGTCTGTTTTCTTCTCGGACCCTTCCACGACCTTTGCCAAGGTTTCCGAGCTTGTGAGTACGCAGGTGTATCTTCAGGTTGCCTTTCTGAGCTGCTCTGTGGTCACAGTATGGACACTTAAATGGTTTCTCTCCAGTATGAGTTCGCATGTGTAGCGACAGGATGCTGTTGAACCGGAAGCGTTTCCCACAGAGGGGACATGGGTACTTTCTGTTTTTCCTGGCATCATCCTCTATATCGCTCATCTGAGACATAATCCCTAGGTTTTGGCCATTCAAGAACTGCTGCAGATCCACGCGCCCATTCAAACTGGTGTCAACCTCTCTATTGAGCTGGTTTGCCAGCAGTGCCATCTGACTGCTGATGGGCTGGTTTGCTATCGACATGTGGCTTTTGTCTTCTAGTGGCACTGATGCCTTCTCCTCTGGATTCTGCCTGTTCTGGAGCTCTGGGAAGGCATGGCTGAGCTGGGAAGTGATCTGGTGCAGCTTCTGACTCATTGAATACTGCCCATTGAGTATGGTGCTGTTGAGATGGGCGTCAGCTTCTGGCACAGCTGAAGAAACACCAAGGCACAAACTAGCTTCCTCCATCTCTGAAAATCAGAAGATATTTTAGATTCAGACTGTGAAAGAGTTACAAGCATTTAATCACTGACGTACAATTTGCATTTTATGTTTTACCTACTCATAATACTGCAAAGGAATTAGTGTAAAAACAATAAAAAGTGTATTAAATCCCAACTGTGCTACACAATTTTGATCATACATGTCCTTTCATCACTCGGCATGTTTACCAATAACCATTAATTACTATTTTAGAATATGCTACAATCTCAAAATCTAATTATTACAGAAGAGGCAAAGGCTTTTACCACCTCCCTTGTCTTTCTTCTTGTGAAACTGCACCTGTTTACATTTCTAAATCTATAGAAAAAGAGATGTTGTGCATCTATCCCATTTCCATTAGAAAAGCCAGGAAAAAAAAAAATAGAAATCCATTTGTAACTTTCAGTTCCATTAACCATATTCAATATATTACACGTTCTACAGTGAGAAAGATAGTTTTATGATGTGACAAAAAAAAAAAAACCCACGATGGTATGATATTTACTAGTGTACAATAAAACAAGATAATGTTTTGGGAAAAAATAAAGTAAAGGACAAGCTTTAGAACAATAAAAGGGATTTTGCTTTAGTCAACAAAAAGTGCAGTAATATCTCATTAAGCTGATTAGTATGCTGCTTAGAAACAGTACTAGGTGCTGTAACACATGATTATAATCATAAAAATCCTTCAGTGTTTGCAAGTAAGCATTAACGAGGTATATTAAATTTTAAGGAGACTGTGACTAGCAGCTTTGTAAACCTCTGAGATTAAGATTTAACCCTTCTGTTACGAAACATTGTTATTTTGTCATTTTGAAACTGAGCCCATCAAAAGGCACATAAATTATCTTCTGCCAAGTCTTTTAATTCATCGTTGAGAACCTTCAGATTTCAGTTCTTAGGAAAACTTGCCAGATTATAGAAGGAATATCTCTGTCCTTCGACGGGTAAGACATGTGATTTAAGGCACTTTGATTTGTTTTAAGGAGCTCTCTTACGGAACTAGATAAAACCAATTAAAATCTGGGGAAGGTGTTGTGGAAAGCCTCAACAAGTTTAAGAATTTTAATAACTTTCCTAATATACAGTAATGACTACAAATTGTACCTACACTATGTATACTGCAGAAAATTAGAAGTCAAAGCTGTTTGTTAAACACAAGTGCTCTGTTCTGGTCTGCATAATTGTCCACAATAATCTTCTATCTGCCACTTCTCTACTCTATACAGAAATAATGTATCTATAAAATTCTATTTAAAATATAGAGATCTCTATGAATAAATCTCAAACTATGTGATGCTATAAGGTTATATTAGAATATAATTAAGATCTGTGTTGTTCAGTGGAGTGATCTGACACTGTATTCACTAATAAAATTACGCAGTTCTATATGTAACTGAATAATTAATTTGGTCAACTTCCTGTCTGTCTTTAGGCAAAAGCATTTACTCGCCGTGCCTTCTACAGAGGCTGCAGGCACGCTCCAGGTGGACACCATTCCTCACGCAGCTTCATACTGGCCACTTGCTAGACAATTTGAGGACCAAATCTGGCACATACTTAAAACGCATGTAATTGTGCTCATGGGAGCAGTCCGGTAGACTTCAAAGGGTGACTCTTGAAAGCAAAGCTCCACACACGCTTAAGTATTTGCAGGATCAGGACCTAAAATAAAAGCAAGGGTGGTCTCCAAGAGGAGACCTATTTGGTCCTCGACAGGATGATTGAGGTTGTGATACAATGCAGATCTTGTAAGAAGTAAAAGAGGAAGTGTAGATTCACGTGCATTAAAGATGAACATGAACTACAGAAGTTTGCTTAGATGTAAAGCAGATCTTTTCAAAGTTTAACAGTGCTCAGATTCAGGTTCCATTTTGGAGGCACATTACTTACATGCTGTCAGTGTTGTTACTTATAAAAATATTAATGAGATCAAGTATATAAAAAGGAAAAGGCTTATCCCTATAAGCTATAGGACTGCACTTAAGTTTAGCTTGCAGGTCTGATTTTACAAGGTAGGGTAACACAGTCAAGTCAGGTGTTGACCCAAGGCCACGTAGCAAACCAACAAAATTCTTGGTTTCCATGGAAATCTTCCGTGCAGCGGACCACCATCATTCAAAATGTGGGTACATGCAAACCCCTTTTTTTAACATTTTTGAAAGTTTGCTTAACTTTTGAAACAAACCAAATTTCGTGTTCAAAAGGATTAGCTTAACGTCTGCAGGTTGTAGTGCTTAGGCCTGAAGCTGACTGAGATTTTGAATATCTGTTTACCCACTTTCTAAAAATAAATTAAAAAAACAGAACAAACAAAAAAAGGCAAACATCAGAATCCACTTTCTGTCTGGATTCCACATACCACCGGTGTTTTCTCCCCACCATGCTTAAACAAGGCATGTTTGCAAACATGAACATAAAAATTAAAAAAATGCATTGCATGTACAGACATATGCATATATTGAAGAGGGTTTAGTAAAGTCTTTGTGAATTGTCATTATTCTAAAACAGCTTGAAAAAAGCAGTCTAGATTTCATTTATACAGATGACCTCAATGGGAACTGGTGCCTTTACATGCTCAGGAAGGTTTGGATAGTTAATTTTAGCATTTTATGCTCTATCGAAGTTTGGAAATGCTGACAGATCCCAGTGGAGTTTATTAATTCTGATGTTTAACCCTAAGCATCAGTTCAAACGTATGGTTATTTGGATTGAGGAGGAGAGAGGGAGTTGTGGTTGAGATTTTAAGTTATTCTGTGGCTCTTTTTCAAAGATAACTTTAATAAATTAACAACTGCAGTTATAGTTGGAACATGATAATTTTTTCTAATATTTTTTTCTTTTTCTGTCTCCTACAAACATACAGACACTTACAATGTAGAATATAGATAGGATAAGTTGGGAAAAAAAATCAACAGGAAGACCAAACCCGTAATTTTTCATTTAAAAACTAATAATTTTGGATCAAGTCTGGGGAGCCTGACCTACACACATTAATCTTTTGGCATTGGAAATTTTATATATATTTGATGAAATAGGCAGAAAGATCAGTAAAGCCTCTGCTTGGTGAGAAATAACCACCTGTAAATGTGGTATGTTCTGATCAGCTGTTCAGCGTCGAGGATCCAGCTACCACAATCTCAAGGTGCTGCAGTTCTTGCGTTAATTCCCACCCTCACCCAGCCCATGTTCTTGGAGTCCTGTCTCCTGCCTCTGGCTCTGAATTGTGTCTTCTTTTCCTCATTCTGACCTGGTTTCATTGCAAACTATGATCCTGACATTCAGAGTACTGCCACGTGGCAGGAGGGGCAATTACCCCTCCTGTAATTCCCAGGTAGTTCATTTAGGAACACAGGGACCACATTCTCATGCAAATCTGACTCTCTGTATTCTTCAGCCCACTCATAGCAAAGCCTACCAAAATCTCATCTCATATCCACGTGCAGGACAGAAGTAGAATTCCTCCTCATCCATCATTCCACTATGAATTAGATAACCCAATCTAATTTACCTAATTTCTCTAAAAAAATTAGCAATTTCATTCTCTCCCTCTTTATCCATCATCCCTGTCTAGACCTACGGCCAGACAGCGTTACACCAGGTGGGGTAAGGGGCTGTCATTTCCCAGTGAGCCTCCTGTGTCGGGCCCTGCCGGCCAGCGTCCCCACCTTGGTGTCCGGGTGGTCGCTGCACAGCCCCTCCCGCTGGCTAGGGCCCTCACCCGGGGCCTGGATGCTCTCCCCAACACCCAAGGGCGCTGGGGTGCTCCGGCGTCACGGACACGCTCAGCCGTGCAGTCATCCTGCCGCCACACGGGTCTCCCCCTAGACATAGCCATCCTCCTCAGACCTCCTGATTCTCAATTGTACCGTATCCTTTCTGCCCCAAACCCAAACGCTAAACACACTAAAAACCTCACGTGAATGGACCTCGCTGAAATTTACCTTTTAACAGACAACCAGTTTGTAATTGCAAGTGTTTTGACAACTATTCTTCTCAACATCTTCCTTCATTCTGTCCTGCCCTTCTTGCCTCCCCCAACCAAAACACCAGGTAGTCAAGGATAAAAAATTCGGAAACGGCAGTTTATGACTGCTGATGTGATGCTTCACAGGAGGAAACTTGAGCAACCTGGTCTAGTGGAAGGTGTCCCTGCCCATGGCAGGGGGGTTGGAACTGGGTGATCTTTAAGGTCCCTTCCAACCCAAACCATTCTATGATTCTATGATTCTAGGAGAGATTTCTAGCTTTCGATTTTTAAATATATAGTCCATCACATTATTTTCACGACTCTGATCTCCCTTATAAGGAAAACACAGGACGTGTTGCCGCCGCTCGCGCTAGGAACAGAAGCACAATGTTCCCTGCAGTTAGCATATGTTTACAAAATCAACTGCGCATCAAATCTGAGATTGTTAAGAAATTCAAAATATGTTTGTTGAAATATATGCAGTAAATTCTTGACCTCTAATTATCTCAAATGTTTTGTAAAGACAATGCCCCTCAAGACGTGGCACCGTATGGAGCATGTTGGTACCAGGAGTTGTGCACGGGCCGCCCTCTCCAACCTAAGCCGACCCTCGGCTGGTGCACGGGCGAGCCTCTCCCGCTCCTCACCCTGCTACACGCTCACGGGCTACAGAGCCAGCCCCTGTTCCAGCGAGGAGGGTACTTACTCAGCTTATGAAATTCACGACTGGATACATACATTATAAAAATACTCTCTCATCTCCCACATGAAGGTACAGTGAGACATTCGAGTCCCTTTGATGATACTAATGGTTATTTTGATTTCACTCACATTTTTGCCCTCAAGACTATTTCCTGTGATATCAATAACGAAAGTTCTGACTTTAGCCATTTCAACTGAACACACAGATTTTATTTAACTATTTGAAATGGATTAATGGAATTTAAAACCAATTATGACACCAGAAATGCCTGTCATCACAACTACATTAATGTAATATGAGCAGCTCAGCTTC